CTATTAATATGGAGTACTTGATAGCCATACCTCATACATAGGATATATTCAATAAATATTACTATTTATTTTCATTGTATTACACATTTTAATACCCAGTCTGGCTTTGTAATCCTGAAACCATAAGCTCTCAAATGTGAGCTCAAACTTTAAAAAATCTGGTTAGACTTGGTTTGATGTGGCTTAAGGTATAAAAAGATATTTCTGTTATCTTCAAGCAGCAAGGCAAAGGGAAGCTTTTCCTCTCAGCTTCTCCAGATGGTATAGTATTGTAACCCAGCACCTAAAAGTGAGACCTGGTTGATTACTCATATAAGAGAAAAATGTATTTATATCTTTATTTAACTGCTGATATCGGTTCCTACTTTTAAATCGTACTGACCTATTTGTTCTTTTTGCAAAGGAGTTCTGTTATAACCTCATAGAATTTATGGACAGCAGCAAGAGAATGTTTAGGCTATTTTACAGAGCGATTGCAAGCGCCTCAGTGGGAACAAAACCAGTTTGCAGTATTCTCTATTCAGAAGAAGAAAAGTCATTGGTGTTCTGTAAAGCAGCTGGGTGTCTTGTTGGAGTGTCAGTGCTTGGCAGTATGTTCATAGTCATCATGTAAGGTTGGCTGACTCATAAGTATTGACACAGTTAGGAGGATTGCTTATTGCTTTAAGTCAAGCCCCATCATTCAGGCTCTTGTCTTTGTCTGTCCTGTTGCTTATCATCAATGATTAAACTAAATTTCCCTTTTAAACACAGCTACCTGTTTAACTATCTAGGAATTAACAAGAGCCTTAATTTGGAGCCTTGAAATAATACCATTCCTAGAGATGTAAAGTTCATTTCTTAATGATGCTAGATCCCAGAATAACATACGATAGCCTTGCTACTCAAAGTGCTGTTCACATACAGCAATTGGCATCACCTAGGGGTTGTCAGAAATGCAGCATGTCCAAACCCCATCACACATGGCTCATTCAGAATTTGCATTTTAACACTTCAAAATTTTAGAGGATTCAGGTACCCATTAAAGACTGAGAAACACTGACTTAAAGAAATGGGTGAGGAGGGGAGGGATTCTGACAGGTGGTTGCTGTTTTGTGTCACCAAAAGGATGGTAATTAGACATAACTGAAGTATAGACCAGACACCTGGAATCAAATATTAAATTAACAACAGCAACAACAGCGGAATTTAACAACACTGAGTATTTGGTAAATTATATTTGCTTTTCTTTTAGGCGTTATGTATACAATTGGCTCATGTTAGGTCTTTCGGTTGTTTTGTTGTTATTTGTAATGCCTATAAAAGCATTCATTGTTGCATCTATCCATACATGAAGGAAGAAAGGAAACAATGAATATGTGATAGTTATCTACTACTGGGAATGGTTACTTTGAGTTAGGACTCAACAGATGTAAAGTCTTCTGGGAGTGGTCACTTGGACCACTTGGATCAGGGACAGAGAGCTCTGTGGTTGGAACTCCTACTTGATTATCAGAAGCCACTCCTTTAATAAGAAGGAACTACTGGTCCTTGGAATCTGAAGTTCAAGAGTCCAACCACTTGTTTGCAGGTAGTTAGTATCATGTTTCCCCAATCTACTACAAAGAGAAGATTTGCTTACTATGAGGTCTGTTTTACTGGGTTTATATTAGCAGATGTTAGTGGTTTCTTTAAGGCAATTTCTGGGGACTATTGTCTCCTGTTTTGCCCCAACTGCCTCCTGTTCATCTTAGGAGACTGAGGGAGAGAGGGAGAAAGGGAGGGAGGGAGGAAGGGAGGAAAGGAGGAAGAGAGAGAGAGAAAGAGAGAGAGGGAGCATTGGTATATGACTTGGTAGAAATTAAGGGTTTGAAGGGCTTAATATAAAAAGAAATGGAAATCACAGTGGTTTTTAAAAATAATTGTTCAAAAAAATAACAGTATATAGTCACTAGAGTATGCACAATATATCCCATGATGCCAGAAGAAAAGTCCTTCCTAATTCAATTCATAATATTATTGCTTGAAAAATAAGTATTGCTCCTAAGTATTGTTTTCTTCTTCATCAGTACTATTCTTCAGAGGTTTTACATTCACTGCTCAGTACCAACAATTCTCGATTATAGAGATTCTTGACTATAAAAGACTATTTTATTTTATTTTCTTATTTGGGAAAAACATTTTACATCCTGAAGTACATGAATCAGAAAATACTTGATGTTTCCTGTTTGCCTTTGAAACAGACAAGGCTATAAACCAATATAAAATTATATTTCACTTAGAGTAGCATAGGAAAATAACAAAAATTAAAAGAACCTAGTTTCAAACCCATTAATGTAATGTATAATTATTATGTCATTTTCCCAGCTGTGGAATGGGTGGATAATAATGATAATGAATAAGAATATAAAAATGAGTAATGCTGTAGTAATTTTAGTCTGAATTTCCCTTACAGCTATTTTTATAATACTTTTGTCCATTCTTAATTTTTATTAATTTTGGTGAAATTTTCCTATTAAATAACCTCAAAAGTTACTGCCTATCAGGCTATACTGAAACATGATTAATATAAGAAGCAATGAGTCTTTTCCCATAGACATTTCACCCTTAGTTAAATTATCTAAAAATCAAAGTATATTATAGACCATTCTCTTAATCAGGGCTAGCCATCCAGGTTGTATTTACAGAACCCTCAATCCTAAAAATCCTTTTTGTTTCCATTTTTCTTGGAGCTATTTCCAATATGTTTATTTCAATGCTTTGTGTTAGATGAGGGAAGACAAAATAAACCTTGAGTCTTGTTGGTAGCTATCATTAAAAGGAGAACCAAATAAGAATAAGTAAATTAAGGTTTATTATTTTCAGTATTCGGTCCTTCCTATTTTCCTCTATGTCTCTAACACCACTGTGGAAAGGTACTGAGTATTTTAGTAGAATGTATTTTTCATAGATTTATCCATTTGGTGAATATTTTTTAAAAATCAAGTACATATATACACGGTGCAGAGTAAACAGACTGTATTAGTCTATCATTAGGAGCTATTTCCAGTGGCACTGCAGTGAAATTCAATTATTTTTCTGAGTTTATGTATGAATTCAGTTGAACTACTGGTTATACAGAGCTAGTTTTGTTGTGGTAGTTATTTTGGTTAACAGCCACTTCCTTATTCAATTAAAAAAAACAAAAATAAACATAAATAAAACCTGAACAGATGTTTGAAAACATAGTCAACAGATATACACATTTTTTTAAAATTCTGAAAATTATAGTTTCTTATACAGAAGATTGACCACCGGCAAAGGTGCTGTTTTCTTTTTGAGCTTTCTGAATCTTCTCCTGTTTTACAAATTATCTATGTGGGTATTTACAAGGTGCTAAAATAAATGACTTAAAAGGAAAATATTATTACCTTAATCTGCATGATAGAAACAACTTGTTTTTGTCGAATTTGTTCAGTTGCAATAGCATAGATTGGGTATGACTTGTATATGTGCACATGTTATTACATTCTCCAGTGTTTGTAAATAGCATGTTTTGCATTACTTTGTGGTGGTGCCATGTATGTGAACAGAATATTATAAATAAGTCACTTAAAATTTTTTGCCAAGTCAGAAAAATGTTCATTTGTGCATTACTTTTTAAAAATTGGTTTTGTTTTTCCAATAAGATGATCAGAGACCTTATCTTAAAATAGTATTCCAAATAAGCTATTTAAAGTCGAGTAAGTTACAACTGTAAAATGCAGAAATTTAAGTCACACTTTTTTTATCTCATTCAATAGATTATATTTACTTCTCCCGTTACAACCTTTAAAATATTCTTAAACCTTAGCATATTAAAGTAAAATGATACACTAGTAATTAAATGGAAAGACAATTCAATAGCCTTTACAGCTATAGAGGATAAAAATCCCCAAAGTTTTTTCGTCTGAATTTCTGCTGCCACAATATTTTTTTCGCTAGTGGAAAAAAAAAAGACATTTTGTTCAGATCTAGCTGTTCCCTGGGTGGTTGGTTCTAGAAAAGCAACAGGCTTCTCCGCCTGCTTTACAAGGAGCAACAGTCAGAAACTCGAACAACTAGAAAACTGCTACCCCACAGTGGTCGGCAACAACCAATAGAGAACGTGACAGCTATGATTTTAATCCATTTTGCAACAGCTTCAGAAAGGGAGCAGGAAATAAAGGAAACAAAAGAATGTTAACTCTTTGAAATGGAAGGATCGCCACCCCACCCCACCCCCTTCCATTGTCTCTTTAATCATCAGGCTTTTCCAGCACGCTTAAGTTTCTAGGGTAAAACAAAGCAATACGAAACAAACTCGGCCTATTCTGTTTCATCTTACATTTGCAAGATGCAGCAAGACAAATTCATCAACCCCCACAAGGGAACAATACAAGCCTCCCCAGACGCTGGCATGAGCACTCTCGTATTAGCAAGCATGGGCTGTCATCTCAGCCTGTTGCTCTTGCCATACTGTATGCTAGAGCCTGGGAAGAGGGATGGTACACTGAGAAACCTCGTCTGTGTGCTTGAGTGCTTGGTGGCGGGGCCTGGGTCGGTCCTGCCTCCCAGCCTGCGGGGACCAGACCTGGCTGCCTGGCTGCGGACCACCGTCCTAGGACCCCAGTGCAGGCCGCCCGACTGCCGGCAGATGGTGCCCTCCGCCTCGGAAGACCAAAGGAAACCCTACTAAAGTATGTAACACTCAGACTCCGCCCCACCCGATCCGCCGCTACCGTCCTTCCCCAAATAGTGCTGAGCACGTTTCCTCCGGAACACCGCAGTAGCGTGTGTGTGTGTGTGTGTGTGTGTGTGTGTGTGTGTGTGTGTGTGTGTGTGTGTGTGTGTGTGTGTGTGTAAAATACAAACCAGGAACGTGTGCCAGAGTGGGGAGCGCACGCGGAGTGGGACTCCGGGGCCGGAGCGAGATGACCGCCAATGAAACGCAGAGGGCACGGGGACCCATCCATTTCGCATCTGCGTAAGCCCGGCCGCCGGGCCGTCCCAAGGCCACTCACCATGTTCACTTCAGAGACCATGTCTATGCTGGCGACATCGATTCGCATCCCGACGTCCACGGGGGGCCCTGCCGAGGATGTGGGACACATGGACATTTTCTCAGAGTGGCAACAGGCTGGGGAGGGGCGAGGGGCTTCCCTGCACTTACTACATTCTAAATGGGCACCCTCCCCTCCCACCCCACCCCTTCTTGCAGGGGACAGCCTGAGAAAACAGGTGTGGGCACACGCGTGATGCAGTGACTATGCAGAGGGTGTGTCGAGCCGAGGAAGGTCGGCACTACCTGGGGTTCATGACCACCTGCAACTGGGGGCGTCCGGTGTGTGTGTGTGTGTGTGTGTGTGTGTGTGTGTGTGTGTGTGTGTGTGTTCAGGGCGTAGGGCATAGTGCACACTTACAAAAATGACATGCTTTTTTTTTTCGGTCATTTATCTTTGACAGGAAAGGAGAACTAGATATGGGTTACAGGTTGAAAAAATATGAAGCTTTACCTCCAAAGTCCGGCCGCAAGCGAATGTCATATCCTTTGAGCAATCTGTCCACTGTCTCTTTCACGTATGACATGTTGCTGGGCTCATTGGCGCTGAAGGGAAGAAGTCAGGACCATATTCAGAATGAGCACAAACTGCGAGCAAACATAAAAATAGACAGGCACACCTACCCGCAAATAACAAGCTACATGATCCAGCAAGCATGGGAAAAGAAAAACACCAAGAAAAGGGAGACGTTCAACAACAGCAGCTCACCTGTGTGCACAACAGACCATGGCAATCATCACAGGGAAAGACAGAAGCCCCAAACTCTCTCGATTTTGTACTGTCCACATTACTAACTCTGATTAAAGAATTGTCTTTTCGGCGAAGATTCAAGGAATGCAACTTAGTCGGCGGCAGGGCAGTAATTCCCCCGAAAGGACCTGCGCATGCGCGGAGGGTGCTCACTACCAAAAGACACCTTGTGCCTTACAAACAATATTCCTAGTGGAACAGGCAACAGATTTCAATCCCTTTAAAGTTCCTGTTTGTGGTGCTCCGCGTCCTCCGGGTAGTCGGAGATATCCCGCGGTTTGCGTACTGGGGATCCTACGTGCATGTGTATACGGAGCTTTTTTCATGCATTGTAGGTTGCTATGTTCTTTTCCTTTCTGCCCTCAATCTGCTTTTTTTTTTTTTTTAATTCAACTTGCAGAGATCTGGCTAAGGCTGCCGGTGATCGGCACCTTTTGTTGACAGTCACGGTGGTCCTAGAGCTGGGNGGCTGCCGGTGATCGGCACCTTTTGTTGACAGTCACGGTGGTCCTAGAGCTGGGAGTTTGGAGGTGGGGTAGTTGTTTGGTTTCGTGTGTGTGCGGGGCACGAGGTGGGACGAAGTGAGTGAAGAGGGAAAGCCAGAGAAGAAGGGAAGGGGCAGAGGAAACGCAGCACGCATTTGAAAACTCCAAGAATCAGGTCTCCTTGGGAGGCATTTAGTGCAGTCCTCTGTGGGAAGGAGAGGAGGAGGGGCGGATCAATTTTTTCACTCCCTTTTCTTCCCTCCCCCTTTCAAGTCTCTCCAGGCATTGGGGTGGTGGGGAAACAAGCCATGAGACAGCATGTCTGGGCAGACGATCCTTTTTCTAGGGCCATCCACCGCAAGTTCCACTTCCCTTCCAGGTTCTAGTGAGGCAAGTCTTATTCTTAATTTGCCAGCATGTTAGCTGGTGTTAAGAACCCAGAAAAGGATCCTGAAACACCCAAAGGGTCTAACTTCTGTTTGCAAGTAGATTGGGGCTCTGTAGGAGCAACAGTTGTTTGAATTCAGTTGAATTCAGTCAATGCAATTCAATAAATGTCATTGAGCATATGTTAGGCGGGAGGCACTGGGCTAGGCGTTTGTTTATTTATTCAATAGTATATATTAAATCGTTACTATGTTCTAGGCATTCTGGGACTTAGAGATGATTTAAAGAGGATTCCTGACCTAGTAAAATTCACAGACTAATGGGAAAGAGACACAAATATTAAGTAAATTAAATATATATCTCTAGTTTACATGGTGAAAAGAGGGTTGTTAATTCTACCAGGGAGAGGTAGATATGGTTTCCAGAGAAGGAGAAGGCTTTTCGCCAGAGCAGGGAGGGAGGGGCATTCCAGAAGAGAATGGCATGTGCCATATCCTAGAGATTTAAAGACTGTGGTTTACTTGGATAGCTGACCCCTGAACTGCCTGAGCAGAACATAAAGGAAGGGAGGTAGGCATGGTGGGTGATGAGAGTGCAAAGGGAAGCCAGACTACAAGTAACATATTTTACCATTCAGGTTTCAGCATCTGGAAATCACTGGAAGTTTTAAGTAGGAATGGTCAAGGTCAGGTTTAGTTTTTAGACAAAATGATCTGGTAGAATAGCCATTATAACAAACAATTAACACTTTTCAATTGCTGACTATTTGCTGGTTACCTAGATTATCTCATTTAAGCCTTATAACCATACACATGTGGTAGATGTTATTATTCTCATTTTATAGGTGATGATACTGAGAATAAATTAGGGTCATGTAACTTGTTTAATATCAAACAGCTAACAAATGGTAGAATCAGCACTTAAACCCAGAAGTTATGGACCTAACTACTCTGTGCTATGTAACATAGACCTCAAGAGGAGGAAGCTAAGATAGGGAAAACAACAAAACGGAAGAAAGGTTATTACAATACCCCAAGCAAAAGGGATTAAAGTCAGATAGTGGTTAGCATGGAAACGAGGTGATAGACTAGTGCAAGTTTTAGAAGTATAATGAAGGCATCAAATAAGTAGAAAAGTCAGGACTTGGAGACTTTTGGAAGGTGCCTAAAGAATTGTACATTTACACATATGTAGATCTTGACATTCTACATATACATTTTTTTTTTCTCATTTGAGTCTCTCAACAACCTTAAACAGTGAGGTCATTTGTTCTAGGAACCATGTTAACTCTCATCAGGTTTCTTGATTTTCTTAAAAGTATGTCAAATCTATCTTTTTAATTCATATGGATCTTCTTTTATTGAGCAAAAGAGACATGTTTCAGGTTCTTGTGGAGCATAGAACCTCTCTATGCTGCACAACTTTTTGCAAAAAGCTGTACTGTAGAAAACAGGATGTGTGAAGGTTTGCTTCATTCGTTTGTTTATTCATTTATATATTCCTCAAATATTTATTGAACACTTACTAAGTGTCAGACACTATGCTAAAAGCAGGTGATACAATAGTGGAAAAGACAGCAGAGTCCCTTTCCACATGGAGTTTGTCAATTGATCCATTTATTGTAGTTTGCAAATTGCCAGACTTGCTAACCAAATTCAATTCATGAAAGAAGTATTTAGTTTGGTGTTTACTATGTTTGTTTAACTTATATAGCTTTTATTGGGATATGTGTTTTCCAGTTGATCATAAATCCCCAAAATTATGCTTGAGTAACAACCAGGATTTTATTTAACAGTTTCTGCTAAAGAGCCAATATTTTAATTAGAATTAAGGAAGACTATTGCTGACTTTGTATAGTTGAATTCTAATGTTTAGTATGTCCCAGTTTAAATCAATTTCACTGAATTTGGCTTTCAAATTATGCCTTCCACTTACATGTAAATATACTACAAGAAGTCATAATATATTCATTATCACATCTATTATTGGGATGCTATTGAGGATAAAGCCCATTATATCACTCAGTATCTTATATATAAAGACCTGTGGAAGAAAATTTTTCCCAGACCCTAGAACTCTGAAAATTGCTTCATTTCCTGAATAGCTTGTATCTTATGGTCAATAGAAATCCTAAAATTCATTAATTTCCTTATATGCTTTGGCCACTGGGAATCTTAGATTTATAGGTACAATTCAGCTATAACCATTATATAACATTTTAATGACCTGCATTTTGATATATTACATTTCTCCCTGATGCCTTAAAATTCTAAATTTGATTTTCCTTTGTCACACTTTACTTATTTAAAAACAGTTATGTTGCACTGAATATATATATATATATATATATATATATATATATATATATATAGTGTGTGTAAGCTGCCTTGGAAAATTTTAGCCACTAACTGGGAAATAAATAAATTTAAAATAATAAAAAGAAATAAGTAAATAATTGATTTTTTAAAAAATCACCAGATCCAGACACAGTGTGGGACTTTTCATGGCTTGAAAAAACCAACACTTACTTCCTCTGTGAAGTTACTTGTTTCTTCCCCAAACCAATCCTCTAAATTAAGATCTTCTCCCCTTTAAGGTTCAAGTCAATTTCCATTTTGTTTTGTTAACGCTGCCCCTTAAATCCATTAGTCACTGCTACTCCTATTTTCTTCTACTGATAACTTTAGGGGGGGCCAAAGCAGTACCCTAAAAATGATCATCCAACTAGGATGGAAGTGCCTTAAGATAAAAAAACCTTACAGATATTGTTAGTGAAGATTCTTATTGATTAGAATATAGAGTAAGCAGTTTTAGATAGTTGCTTTTAATTGGGATCAAACTTGAAAATGATGGCTTCACTTTCAAATTTGTCCTGCTTATTTATTTATTCTTATAAATACCGAGTCCAAGCAAATAATGTACAAGCTAAAGCTGTTTTTAATAAGCTACGTAGACACACTATGTAACTTTAATGTAGATGGCACACTTTAAAGGGAAGACTAATAGAGATTCTGTTAAAACAAAATAATAAATATTTCAATTCATAGTTTAAGAATATAGCTAAAGTTCACCTCCATTCAGTCTTGCTTTTATTTATTGAGCCTCTATTATTTGCCTAGCAAGTATGAGACTCTGTAGTCATAATTGGTCCATTATTATCTATCCTCAAGTTGGCTTAAAATCTTATATGAATGGATACATTAGATTAGATATATGTGAAATAAAGGTGATAATAATTGTTTGGAAGTACTACAAAGAAGATCCTTACCAAAACTGAAAAATAAATAAATTCCCACCTTAACCTATCCTTCAGTGCCCAGAAATTAGCCTCAGAATAAAAAATTAAGCATATTGTCAAATTAATGTTTCAAATTAGTGGATAAATAACAGGTTTTCCAATAAACAGTAGGAAAATTATCTCTTCGGAAAATAATAGTGTACGAGTATAAGCATTTCCTTATACTTTTCACTAAAATAAGTGTCAGCTGAGTTAAAGACTTAAAGGTAAAAAATGAAATCATAGGAATAACAGATAGGCACATGCAATATAATCATTCAACATTTAGTAAATGAATATTAAACATCTTTCCTCTTTGATATATGCTGGCCAAAGAAGAAAAATTCAAGAAAATATTGATAGATATGAATACATAATTGTAAAGTTATTTTTTAAATTGAAAAGCAATTAATTGTGATAGTTAGGAGTCACTACCACTAAAGTGTGAATATTCAACATTATACCAGAGGCAGGATATTGCAATGAGACAATTTAAACTGGGGGGAAAACAGAGAAGAGACCCAAGGTGGCAGAGTAGATAAACGCTGTACTTGCTTCATGCCTTGAACACATCAAAATCACAACTGAAATTATAGAACAATCAACCTGGAGACCATATGAAGTCTAGCTGAACAGAAGTTTTATAACTATGAATATAAAGAAGAAGCCATGTCAAGACTGATAGGAAGGGTGGAGACATGAAGTAGGCTGGTCCCACACCCATGTGTGGCAGTTGAAAACTGGGAGAGGTATCTTGGCCACTTCCCCACAAAAAAGCTAGGGACCCCAGCCCCCACTCCCTAGCCTGGAGTACTGGTTCTGCGATGAGACGCCCCGACAACTGATGAGATAAGTAAGGAGTTAATGGGAGAGGGCTTGTGAGCTGGCAGGATGGGATAGGCAAAGAGTTAACAGGAGTGAACTTGTGGGCTAACAGGAGAGAGCTTAAACATTAACTGCTTGGCTCTAACTCCCCTGGCTAGCACTGCACCTGCAGGCTGACAAGCACCTAACATCCATCATAGGTGGGAACAGAATGGTTCCCAATGACAACAGCAACCCCCTGCAAACTGACATCCATCATAGATGGGAAGAGGACAGCTCCCAGGAGAAAACAATTATAATGGCAGCCCCTCTGCAAGCTGACAAGTACCCTA